GTGTTGATGCGTGGCCTTGGTCGGCTCTGCTCTCCTGACTCGGAGCCGCCGTAAGTCATTCGCGCGTTCGGGGCCCGACAGCATCATCCTCTCCTCTGCGAGACCTGGGAGCCCCAGTATATCGTGCATTATATTTAATAGAGTGGCGCAAGCGACTGGCTTATCGCGCGAGATGCCAGTCGCGAGGACTCGACGCTCGAATTACTTGCTATGCAGGACGCTCGGGACGTACTCGGGCCACTCGCGCCACTCGCGCCACTCGCGCTTTAATGAACGGCCAGGAAGGAGTGACGACGACGGGATTGACGAAGGACGAACGCACACGAGCGCACACGAACAAAGAGAGAGAGAGAGAGAGAGAGAGAGAGAGAGAGAGAGAGAGAGAGAGAGGATGTCTGTAATATAAATCGGGAAGAGGTACGGTCGTGGCTTTGGCAACATTTTAACTTATAATGGTATTGAATTATTAAGATTGCTCGAGACAATGTGCTGCTCTCGTTTAAGAAAATCGATATTCTTAAGCTAGACAACGACGATGAAATGACGCTTCATTAAACGAGCGCTCGCGATACTTTTTATTTTCCTTCGAGAAGGAAACGGTGCGCCCACCTCCTTTCAAAATCCAACGAAACCAACGCAAGAGCACGTGTCCTAGCGTTTCGACTCCCAATGCTAAAACTGTCTGTAATATCCGGCGAAAGAGCAATTATTTTTTCACTCGATGTCGAGTTTCCCTTTATTGCGCATCGCCGAGGTGCCAGTTGAAGCGGTGGCACGTTGAAGTCGACGGGCAGCGATGAGATGAGCGTGCGCGCGTCTGCGTACTAGAGCCAGAGAGAGAGATAGATAGATAGATAGATAGAGAGAGAGAGAGAGAGAGAGAGAGAGAGAGAGAGAGAGCGAGAGAGAGAGAGAAAGAGAGAGAGAGAGAGAACGCCCGAAAATTGCATCACTGATAATTCACGGGCATTAACGGTAGTAGGCGCGCGGGACTATCAATTGCACTGAAATTCCAGAGGGTCGGAGTAAAGATGGATATTTTTCATCATCCAATTAATCCTAATTAATTAAAAGACTTTTGATATTTTCAATTTGTTCGAAGGAATTCAATTCCTTCATTCAATTGAAACACGTTAATAATTGATCAACGAATTGACGACTTAATGATACTTTAATCAATATCTTTATCATCAGTTGGAAGCGGCTGCTCGACAAAAAATATGGTTTAATAGATAATTCTTAAATATTTGAAATTAATCGCACATCGTTATCTCGATTTTCTTTGCTTCCCTTTGCTTCCCCTTACGATGCATCAATATTGGCGTTTTTTTTTCTCGATAGGCGCGAGTCTGTCTCTACGCAGCAGCAGTCTGCCATATCCAAGGGATCACCACATCCACGAAATTCTCAATCCCACTAACTCTCTACGCTCCTCGAATACGATGTGTAGGTGAAAATATGGCAGCGACCGTGGCGGCGGGCCGTTCTCACGCGAGCGCCGGTGCGCATCGGGCCAGTCCGAGGCTAAACGATCACGAAGTTATGGAGCGCGGCACGTATGGCGCGAGGTATTGGTCCTCCGGCGGTTCGAGGAACCTAAAACGGGAAGGCTACAAAAAGGAATAGGGGCCGGGCGCGCGTAACGAGGCGAGCGAAAAATTATCCCCACGAGCGTCTCGTGGAAGCGCATGCGCGACCTCGATCTCCTTTATGGGTGCGCGCGTGCGTGGTGCCCCATGGAGGATGTAAATGCACCGCCGACGCCGACGACGACGCCATCGCCGCCTGATTTACGTCCCGGGCCTCGAGCTCGAATTTGATGAAATCCGATGCCGTGGTCCGACATCTACCCCCCGCCCCCGCCCCCCCCCCCTCTCCCCGGCCATCCATCCCGCCTCTTTCTTCTCTTCCTCCTCCTCCTCCTCCTCCTCCTCCTCCCATGCCCCTTAGTAGTCGTTCGCGTTATTATTCCCGGAGCTCGCGCGGTCCTTCGCCCTTAGCGAGTAGTCCCGCGAGGTTCCGCACGATTGCGCATCCGAGTCTGGCATCGCGGTGTCGTCGTCGGGGCACCTCCCGTCCCCAGGTAGGTCCTCTCGGCGAAGAAACTCGAGACGGTGGCGAAGGGACGGAAGCAGAGGGCAGGTGCGGGAGGGACGGGCCGTTGGTAGCGCGTAAAATTGCCTCGCCTAAAGATCCTTGGGTCTCCACGGCGCTCGGGAACGCGCACGTAATCCGAGCTCTTGTTCCTCGTTCGGGAGGGTCGTGGCGGATGCACGGGACTTTCTGATTTTTCGATCGTTGGTCGGCTCGATTATGGGATTCCGCCTGTTGCCACGAGATTGACGTCCTAGCAATGTCCGTCGGATATTGCTATCGCGCACTTAATGTACAAAGTCGATCGTACATCCACTACGGCTGGACGTGGTTAAACCAAAAGGGCCCTGCCCTTTATCCATTTGAGCAAAGCTCACGGATTGCTCGAGCGTTATATTGCGTGTGGCAGACGGTGGGGTGGGGTGAAGAACGAGGAGGCGAATATCGAAAGGCCGTATGAGGCGAGAGCGAGAAAAAAAATAGAATCGCTTTACGCGTGCCAGAGGTAGTTGTGCGCTACTTTATATATTATACCGTGGGTCCGCGTCTTGCCGGTACTGAGGCAGGATAGCATAATAATGAAAATCGCCGGCGTCCGGCCAAGTGGAAACCTGGAGATGGACATCCTCGTGGATAGGGGAGCCCGGCGAAATTTGCGGAATTGTGTATTAAGCGCGTCCATTAGCCCCGATTGGCGAATAGAGCGCGAGAAATGCGACGGAGCGCTGTCATGATTTTGGCGTTGAATGGAGAGAGATAGATAGATAGAGAGAGAGAGAGAGAGAGAGAGAGAGAGAGAGAGAGAGAGAGAGAGAGAAAGATGTAGCCTCGAAAGTTTCATTGGCCCTTCGCTATGGCTCTCTATGGATTAATTAGATGATTGTCTTTGCGTGGGTTGTTTAGTGTTGGTTTAGTTATTAGTCGGTGACTCGTAATGCTTAAATACTGGATGCTACGTACTTTGAGAGACTCTAAACGTTAAGTTGTCAAGCAGCTTGTAGAATATCTTGTACCGATAGAGACTGACGGACGCTCAATTATTCCGATTGCTTTCGATAATTTGTTTGCGCAAAGTGAGAATCGACGAGGCTGTAGTCGCCGAGACGAACATTTCGCGGTGGCCGCGGAATATTATTATTTGCCGCCTATTTGTAGTTAAATGGCTTTGTAGTAATAGCAAATTCGAGCGATTTAGAGTGATTTTGAAATGAAAAATCCCTAATTGACGGCGAGCATGGGAAGGGGACGACGACTCGTATCGAAACTGAGTCGCCGTAAAAGCAGAGACAAGACGTAATTGTTTTAGAAGCAAGTGCGCGTAAGTACCGTTGACAGCGTAGTGCGCAAAAAGTCGTCAGCGCTTCTACAATCGTTTGAAATCCAGTTAACATCAATCAGAAACGCGACTTTGTCATTCGCGGTATTTCCGTTCCATTTAATACTCATGCCGTTTGAAAATTTTATCAATCGATGATTCTCAATTACTCAATTATTTAGGTCGATTATCGGAATTTTTATTCGCTAAAGAAATATTCTCCTGTCTGTCTCGAAAGATGGGAGACATTTTATTTAACGTCTCCTCCTATTCTCATACACTTCGCACGAGCCAAAAATCTAATATACAATTTACAATTGGGATCGCTAATCACATTACGATCCAAGGGTTCCACCAACTATTTATGTACATTCTGTATAAATCCCCCCACCCCCATCTCCCCTCGTCTACTCGTGTCATGATAAAGTTAATTTATGCAATAGATCCTGCCTGCGTAAGCTTGCAATGAAGCCAATAAAGATCGAGACGATTCCTTGGAAGCCGTGATCGCCTTTAATCCTAGCGCTCGCCTAATTGCTCACGGTTCCTTCCCTTCGCGAGGGTGCAATTGTACGTATCGATCGACTGGCTGCAATTAGCACCAGGTGACATCCGTCGTCGGATCAATTACCGAGGACTGCCCAATTAGCGATAATTGGCGCGGTCAAGACGACATAACCTCACGAGGACTAACGGTTCGCGCATGCGATCGCTCTCGACGTCTGTTTTCGGGGTCGAAAAAAAAAAAAATATATATCGAAACGCCAGCTCGGGGATCTCCTGCCCCACGATTGTTGTTGACGTTGAACCGCAAAGTCCATTTGGTTTTAGCGTTTTATCCCTTCGGATGGTACGTCATCGTCCAATGTGAGAAAATGCACTTTTCACAGCGTCAGATACACATGCGCGTGAAAGTCTGCATCGGCAGCTGTTTGTTCATTCTTCTATTTATCTGGTCGGGGGGTGGGATGGAGGAGGAGAGTTCTTTCAAACTATCTTATATATATATTGCTTTCACCCATAAGTTTTGTGCTTTTTTTTCTTTTTTTATTTTTTCTTTTTTTTTTTTTTTTTTTTTTTTTTTTTTTTTTTTTTTTTTTTTTTTTTAATAATAATACGACGGAGAAAATACGAGCTCCTACTTTTATTATAATTTCATTTGCTAAAAAAGAGCGGTGGTTCCTTAACAAGATACTAATTTGCTTTATTTTATTACCGCTCTTTGCGATAATATGCATGGTCGATCCATCAATTAAGGATATTGACATGGAAAGTACGAGTTTGTGTGTGCTTATGGTGGACTCGAAATGCCAAGATTTATTCGCCACTGAGAGCGCCCGCGTTATAAGATTATGTGCATATATATATATATATATATATATATATGGCCTTTGTTCATAAACTTATTGTAAGAAAATGTTGCACTTACCGTCTAATCATAATTTAATTATTTACGTTGGAAGTTTTGAACTTTGCAATCATTTATAATTTTAAGCCTTACAATGGCCCAGATTCGCCATAATACTAAGCTATAATAATTAGGTCCTCGATGGGTGTGCAATAAAATGATCGTCTCCTTTTTCTTCTTCAGGCTTCACCGGCACGCAGTGCGAAATAAACATAGACGAGTGCGCGGCGAACCCCTGCCTCAACAACGGCATCTGCACCGACCTGATAAACGGCTTCAAATGCAAATGCGCGGACGGCTTTGCGGGCATCCACTGCCAAATCAACATCGACGACTGCGCCTCCTCGCCATGCCGCAACGGCGGCACCTGCCACGACTCGATCGCCCGCTACACCTGCGAGTGCCCACCGGGTTTCACCGGCGCCTCCTGCGAGACCAACATCAACGACTGCCAATCCAATCCCTGCCACAGCGGCATCTGCATCGATGGCGAGAACTCCTTCACCTGCAACTGCATACCCGGCTTCACGGGCAACCTCTGCCAGATGCAGATCGACGAGTGCGAGAGTAGCCCTTGTAAATTCGGTGGCAGGTGCGAGGACAAGATCAACGGCTACCAGTGCATCTGCAGCCCGGGCACCTCCGGCAACGACTGCGAGATCAACGTGAACGAGTGCTACAGCAATCCCTGCATGAACGGCGCCACGTGCGCCGACGGCATCAATAGGTGAGCCTCTATTCGCGCGACCTCGATAATCTCGATAATGCCGATAATCCCGGTAATCCCGATAGCCCCGATAATGGTCCAATGGCTCATGAAAGCCAATCGATTCATCCCACTAAACTGACGAATTTTTCCGACGCGACAGGTACTCCTGCGTGTGCGTACCCGGCTTCACGGGCCCCCACTGCGACACGGACATCAACGAGTGCGCCTCGAATCCCTGCGCTAACGACGGACACTGCATCGACCTCGTCAACGGGTTCAGGTGCGAGTGTCCCCGGGGCTACTATGACGCCCGATGCCTCAGCGACGTCGACGAGTGCGCCTCGAGCCCGTGCATTAACAGCGGCTCCTGCGAGGACGGCGTCAACCAGTTCATCTGCCACTGCCTGCCCGGCTACGGTGGCAAGCGCTGCGAGGTCGACATCGACGAGTGCGGCTCGAACCCCTGCCAGCACGGGGGTATCTGCAAGGACAGGCTCGACGGATACAGCTGCCAGTGCCTGCCAGGCTACGCGGGCGTCAATTGCGAGACCAACATCGACGACTGCGCCAACAGCCCCTGCCAGAACGGGGGCTCCTGCATCGACCTCGTCAACGACTACAAATGCGTCTGCGAGCTGCCCCACACGGGCCGCAACTGCGAGAACAAACTCGACCCCTGCTCGCCCAACAAGTGAGTACACTCCCGCGCACTTTCTCTGCTCCCTCCCCCCCCCCCCCACCCCCCCCCCCCCCCCCCCCCCCC